CATGGCGTCCGGGCCAATGGGGAGGCGCGGCCGCAGCCTCTGCCCTGACCCCGGCCCGCCCCTGCCCCTGCGCTCCGCTCCTCAATGGCCCTCCCGGCTTCTTCCCTTCGCTGTTCAGTTGTTTATGGGGTCTGCGGGTGGTGGGTAGCGGTGTGGGATTCCACGCCGGAGGCGCACCTTGTGCGAGGCTAGGCTGCAGCCAGGAGTTGGTCTCTGGGAGTTTGGTCGAGAGCGGTGTGCGCCACAGCTCCAGTGCCCTCCGGCTCCGGCCATGCCCTTGGGAGAGGGCAGGACCGTGAGCGCCAACCGTCCTGCGCCTGCCGGGCATCGCAGAACCTCTTCACGGTGCTACGGTGCTGCGCTCTCCCTTCTCTCGCCTCACTGCGTAGACGCTTGGGCAGGGTGGGAATAAGCACGAGGACACCCCCCCACCCCCACCCCCCAATGACGGCTCTCTGGGCCTGGGCAATGCAACGTTTCCCGAGGGACACCACTGACTTTGCGGTCTGGGACCAGCAGTAGGGACTGATAGCCTACTGCCGGTCGGGTCTCGGGGAAACAACATAGTCTATTTCAACTAGAGCGCGCCGGTTCTTTCATTTTCTCAACCCGCACATCGGTTGCCTGCAGGATTGCACTGGGAGTTTGGTTTTGGCTGGGCTCGGGTAGAGGAGAGTTTTGGAACCTCCGGGCTTGCTGCTTTCTACTCTCAAGACCGCCACTAGCGCGCGCGGGTCCAGACGACTTCAAAATTGGAGAAGTCAGTCTGGTTCCCCAGTGCTCCTGGGGAGACAGTTGGCAGCGTGTCCTCTGGGCCTCTCTTCTGTGTCTCCAGGTTTCGCTTGAAATCCTAGGAATGAGGGCGATAGGTGTTGGGGGATGGTAGATCTAAAGCACGAGCAGGCGATTAGAGCTCAAATTCTTCAGCTCAGTGGTCCACTCTGCCTTAACCTAGCGCTGGGCCCCGTGCGCCTCTTGCAAGAGTATCACCCTGCTCTGTGCTGAGCTGCCCTCCTACTACTGACATTGTGGCGATCCACCAGGATGTTTGGGGGAGAGACCATTTCTGAAGCCTGAGGAAGCGCCCATGGACTTCACAGGTGTAAGTTCACAAGAACTGGTCCACTCTGGAACCGGAAGCCTTGCTATAGTGACTTTAGCCTCTATACATTTTATCTTAGAATAATCTACATAAACCAATTGGTGGAGGGAGATAAGTCTGTTTCCTGCCATAATACAAAATAAGCATGTATTTCCCCTTTGTACACAGGAGAGGAGCAAAAATACCTTGAGGAATTATGAAGACCTCAGAAAGCATGATGGAAAGAAGAGAAAAACGGTCAGAGAACTGGGAAACTGACATATTCTCTCATTTTCCTAGAGCTCCTGAGCACTATGTATACAGACTTCAATATCTAACCTCGTGCCTGATGCTTAACAAGTGCAAAGATTGCAAATTTCTTTCTAAGGAGCTATTTCTTGGGGCTGGTGGGCTTCCAGAACAGGGTGTTTTGGTCCTGGATATCTTCAGTCAGTCAATTCTGGTGGATACAGGCATCAGACTGATAGACATAGTTCTCCCTTAACCAGTCATCAACTTATTTACCTCACTTGAAGTAGGTGGAAAATAAGTACTTTCATGACTTTTAGGCACCCAGAGCCTTTCACTACAAGAGCCCTGAGTCTTGGGCTGTGTTTTGCAGGTTAGGGAGTTACCTCTCCAAGTCATGGAGAACATTTCAGCACTGAGTTATGAGATTTGCTTTTTTTTTTGAGGAAAGGTAAGGGCTGCTTGAGAGCACATCAACCATATTGATATAGCTCTTCCCCATGGCCAGCTTGCTCGTCTTTTCAATTGGGATTTCACTCTCTAAGTGAAAAGTCCCCCAAGCTAAGATAAAAGATTGGATAGATTTGGTGGAAATTCCCATGAGTAACTTTGGGAGTCTGTGATTTTGGCAGTGTCTGAGAGATTCACCAAATCCTTAAATAACTCTCCAAAAGATTGGATCCAGCCTTGCTTAGAGCAGACCCAGGTAGGTGGCCCAATGATCTCTTAAGGATGTCTTCCAGGATTAAGTTGAACAACTTTTGCAAGAAAAAGCCCAGAATGTAAACCAGATGCAGGCCTGTGGCTAGAAAACCTATTTTATTTTTTAGAGACTCTGGAAAACTAAAGGAGAAAAGCTTTAAAAGGTGATGGTGGAGTGAGGGCAGAGGAGCTTGGTCCCAGGATTTAGAGAGGTGTCTCTAGAGAGATTGATATTTTGGCCACAGAGGGCAGCAGAGGGCACCAATAAACAAACTCTCAAATTGCTTAAAATGGGAGCAAAGTACAAATCTCCTAACTCTGGACTAAACTGTGGACATAGAAATACCCACTTGTCTTAATAAGGGGAAAAAACAGGCTCTCTAGCTTCCTCTCTTCTTTGTAGAGTATACTTGGAGGAGGAGGAGATAGGAAAAGGGGTTAACTTACAAACTGGGTAGGGAGTAGACACATGAGATGCCATGGGCTGGTGAAAGGACAGCCTCAGTAGCCCCATCAAAGTGACAGATGCTATGGTACAGGAGTCAGGTTGGAATGGGTGGGATCTAACAGGAGATGAGATCTTGGAAGGCTGGGCTATTTCATTACTACCCTACAACTGTCAATGCATTGTCCCATAATGGGCCTGGGACCAGAGTGAAGCAAAAGGGGTCCCCAAGTTCACAATGTGAGGAAGCACTCTCAGGGTCATACAAATGTACTAGTGCCTGTCCTGCCACACTTTTCTCTCACATAGTGCCCATCTGACCCTTTCTGGCCATTTAGTTGATTTTGGGGTGGAGCAAGCTTGGGAAATAGGAAGCGGAAACGAAAAGAAGGACCATCTGGCAGAGACCGCAGCTCCACTGAGTCACCTTTACCGAGTCACCTCTTCCCTCATACTTACATGTTACTCCATCCAAACAAAACCAGCCCCTTTGTGATTCTACAAAAACCTGTCCTCACAGTCCCCATTACTGAACTCCAGGACCAGGAAACTATCCTCCCTGTATTTGGCTACAGACCAGCGCGCTACGAGAGATTTCACACAGATGGATGCTGGGCTACCAGGGGATGTTGTGACTTTTGACTCCACAAGTCAACATTTTGCCATCTTTCAAAAAGAGTTCTGTGGCTTTGTTTTTTCTATTTTTTTTTTAAATCAAACTTCTTTGCTTTTTAAAAAATTAATTGCCAGAGGGCATTTGTGCTCATCAGAGAGAGAGAGAAATTACTACTAATGGAACATGGTCAAGTCGCAGTCCTTTTTCCTCCATTCTTCCTTCCTGTCAGGATTTTGGGCACATGTGCACAAGTGACCAGTGTGTTTTTCAAGCCACTGGGGCTAGGATCCAAACTGCTGTTGTGCAGGGAGTGACCAGACCTAGGTAGGAACCTTTAAAGTAGATATGGCCATCTGGCTAATGCTGCAGGGCAACCAAAAGCTCTAAGAATAATCTGTCACACTGCAGGGCAGTGCATGCTGAAAAAAGAAAGTAGAAATAAGAAAGAACCATGGGCAAAGTTAAAAATAAGAGAGAACTATGTGCAGGTTAAAGCAAGCTGCATGACTGCCAGAGGAAGCCAGGAGAGGCTTGTTTAGAACCATACAAAGCAAGATACTTCACAG